AAGATTTATTAGACAATAAGTTAAAATATTCAGGTGAGAAAGACAACTAAGATTAAATTATACTAAAATAGAAAACAGAAAAATAGGGTTACATTATATGAATGAAATTGTTGTCCGCGGCAAAGTGCTGGCTGCCTTCCCCTTTAATTTATGATAATTTGCGATCAAAAATGTAACCAAAGGTGCCATTACAAAACAAAAATAAAAAATTGTGCAATTGTGAAATAAATGCGTCGAGAAAGTTTCACCAATCGTGGTTTTTGCAATTTCTGCAAAAAATCAAGTTGTTTCTGACACAAAAATTCATATCATCGTCTTAAGAATGTCACTTGCTACTTTTATTTCTCAGCCTATCGTTCACATCGACTGCAGGCGGCACACCGTAGTCTCAAACATGCAACATAAACTGCAAACATGCAGTCTATATGTTTGTAATCTGATTTCAAAAATATCATGTGTATGGGTGGATACAGTCTGAAAGCTAAACATATCACTATTAGTTCCTTGTCGTACTATTGATGAGTAACACCAATGTGTGTTCTATTAGAAACAAAGAGGTCAACAAAAAAGATTTTAGACAACGCAGTAGTATCGGATACTATTATCAATCAGACGAACACTCGAGGGTTAAATGTGCATCATAAAAACCCACGGTTTAGACGAATTATGAACGCACGCGCCATTCGGACTCGCTTACTTGGAGACGAACCCTGATTCAATTGAATCTTTACTATAAAATTTACTTGAAGTCATGTTTTGATATGAGAAATGCACTATTAAAAATAACATGCTTAAACTTCGTAGTTTAAGTGTGCAAGTTATTCGTAACTGCCAAATAGTTAACCTAAGGATACGTCACGGTTCCATTAATATTCTATTAGAGCGACAGTGACAGACAGTATTTCTTTCTAAGCGAGCTTTCGATAGACTAATACTCTGACCACACAGAGGCAGTGCAGAGGGAAAAATGAACTATCGCGCATTTAAGCTTTCGCGCAACTGTCCATTCGCGCAAATGAACTATCACGCATTCGGCATTCGCACTCACGTAGTACACACAATAAAAGCAGACTCAAAAATTGTAAAAAATACAATGTTCAAGCCCGCTAAAGTCCCGCTAAAGCCTCACCGTGCCCCGCTGCTACCCCTGTGTGAACGGTTGAATAGAACACAATGGAATACAACTCCCGTTCCCGCGCCCACCCCGCGTTAGCCACGCGCTTGGACCGCGCCCGCCCCGCCAACGGTTTCAGTGTGACAGGGTTCATACGAACTTGAACATTACAAAAATTCCCGTGACCAGAACGCCGCCGAAACTTTTGTCTCCCGCCTCTGATTAGCCAGAGCATTATTCAGTATATCAATGCGTTTCGTGCTACGCTGCGGCTTCCCTGACGGTGTAGTGTAGGTATTTTTTTAAGACATTGGTCTATTCTTATGAGAGTGAGCGATTCGGCCAATTATTGTAAAGACTTTGGACGTAGCTTTTTATTCTTTGAGTCTATCGCTTCTTTGTTTCCTACCTTGCTCTGTCACTGCTGTCAAATTTTCTCATTTGGTTGTCGTCTTAGAGGATGGAAAAAAATAAAGGAAGTCGTCGTATTCATACAAGATACAGTCACGTTTACTCCAAAAGACCGCGAAGAACGCGAACCCGTCATTTACGTTTTGCTCTAACAAGTCTCGTGTTTCACCATTGAACTGTTCCTGAAAGGCGAGTCTCTATAAATCAACAGGAACAGACAAATTGACTGTAGAGAAGGTAACGAGTTAGGCAAACATGTACGTACACTTTCGAGCAACCCTGGATGCGTTGCTACACATACAACGAGCTTATTTTCACTTTGTGTTGCAATTGGCTTTGCTCTACGTTTTGTACCTGAACACTTAGAACACTTAGTTCAATATGAAAATTGGAACAACGGTCTACTGGTATGTATCTATGCAACTTTTTAATACATACAAGTTTCCGGAACTGGCCACTTACATAAACAATTTTTAAAAAGTAATTCCAACATTTGAAAATGAAACTCTTTGACGGTAGAATACAGTTTGTTTCATAAGACTGTCAATTGTTTTTACATTGTGGCATCATTTTTGAAATTTGTTGTCTACATCACCATGGATTTAACACGTGAAAATTTTCGTAGTATGCTTTTCTACGAATTTAAGTGTAATTAACAACTCAGCGAAGCTTCGCTCTGCTTCAAACTGCTTTTGGCAATGAAGCACCATGCAAGACGACTATTTATAGCTGGTTTGCAGAATTCAAACGCAGTCGTGTGAATCTCAGTGACGAATTTCGTGATGGTAGCCTATCCACTGCTGTCATTGAGTATATAACCAGAAATAGAGACGAAATGTCATTTAACTTGTTTGATAACTATTCTGCCATATCATTACTGTGAGTTCGAAACAATTGACGGGTGTCGTCAATGGCTGTCAACTGTTTCACTTCAAATCGACGAGTTAACTTGAGCTTTGCTATAATTGACGAACATTGCAAACTTACATATTTAATATTTAATTACCGATGAAATGTGACTCTGTTTGTTTTGTAATTAGACGTTTTGCTGTTTTTCCCACACCACCGAATAGAACAGCACGGCTTTGTTAGAGATATTATCTTTATTACGATAAATACAGAATATTTTTTGGAATATACAGAGACGTACACACAAGTCAGTGGTTGGTCTGTCTATATTTCAGTGCAAACGGGTGTTGATATTTACAAGACCTATATCGCTAATGTGTTACCAGGAATATATGGCCCTTATTTCGTCTCTATTTCTGGTTATGTGCTCGATGACTGCTGTGAACAACAAAAACATCGATGCTGTGCGCCGTATGATCAAAACAGATAGGCATGTGATATACCATGAGACTCGGGCATCTTTAGGCATAGGTATGAGTCAAATACGATCAATACTACACAAACATTTGGGTGTGAAAAAGCTGTTTTCTCAGTGGATCCCACACAATTTGATTGAGGCTCAAAAAACGGATCGCGTCACTTGGTGCAATGCCATGCTTACCAGATTCAACGAAGGGGCGTCAAATTTGGTGTGGGACATAGTAGCAGGTGACGTAACATGGATTTATAGTTACAATCCCAAAACAAAGCAGCAATCGAGCGTATGGTCTTTCGAGATGAGCCGAAACGAATGAAAGTGGCGCGCGTGGAAAGTGCCTCTAAGTGGAAGATTGCTCCTTTTTTTATAAAACTGGACACGTGGCTACTGTTGCTTTGGTGAGTCGTTGTACCGTGAATAGTGATTGGTACACGAGCATTAGCTTGCCGGAAGTTATCGACAAACCCTGTAAAAATAACCGTAAACTCCGTATCATTACGCACCACGATAATGCCAGTTCTCACACAGCCATACAGACAAATTAATTTTTGAAGGTGAACAACGTTGACCTTATGAGCCATCCCGCGTACAGTACCTTGTGACGTTTATTTATTTCCAAAAATTAAGAACCAGTTACGCGGTCAACGATTTTCATCACTTGAAGAGGCTGTCGAAGAGTACGAAAAATATGTTTCAGAGATTGTCACGGTGGAGGGGCTAAATGTTTTCAAAATTGGTTCATTAGTATGAAAAAGTGCATTAACGCTAACGGAGAATATTTTGAGAAACAATAAATTCATTTCTGACCATTTATAGTACTTTTTTCTTATTCATTCCGGAAACTTATAGTGCGCCACAGGTATATACTGAGTGCTTTTTTTTTATGGGACGGTATGGGTAAATCCGAAACCTTAGAAGCTACAAGGAAACTATCTTAGGAACCATTAAGTTTCTTTTTTATGAAAACAATTTTGGCATAGTCAATTTAATGGTCAAGCGTGAGTTGTCCATAAAAAATAATATACTCAATTTTATAAAGGGATCATTTTTTCATTGTATGGGACGAAAAAAAATCGAGACAGCAGAAGTTGATCAAATTTCATAAAATATTTTTTCATACAAAATGACACCCATTTCTTATGGAAATGACTTCATTGTATCGGAAGAAAAAATTGGAACAGCAAAAGTTGGTCTGTTATTCATGTAAAATATCATTCGGATTCGAATCCGGGCTTGCACTTTTCAGTTTGTGGTATTTATGTGCGTAAGGAGAGTTCGTCGTAGAGAATATCGCGTTCATACTATCTTGGGCTAGATATAAAAATATCAAAGTGGTGTCAATTATCAGCTTATATATTGCATAACCATCACTAAAAATTTTGCAGATTTTGTCAATCTGAGAGCATAGTCATAAGAAATTTACTTATGTTGACTTTATGCAATAATCTATATATATTTTGTAATCTAGAAAGTCGTTAGGAAACTCAAATATATTACATGTTACATGTTTTGGTAATATATCTACTTGAACTTTTTCAATTAAGTGCCAGCAAATACTGTCACTGTCAGCACAGATTAAAAATTCTAAATCAATTATATAATTAATGGATTTGTAAACGTGAATCGATTTTAATATTTATCTATATTGTGCAATGTTTTACTGTTTAAAACTTTTGAATCTATAACTCCAATGAATATGATATTTTTGTGATTGCATTTTCATCTGGTGCTAGAGTTTTTCTTTGAATTGTTTAAACTCGTTCACATTAGTCGATTATAGATTAATCGATAATCTATCTAGTTTGTGAATTAATTAATTTTAAATTTGTCACGGTCCAGATTTGAGTTGACTTTTAATTTTTTTAAATTATAAAAACATAACATTTTTTAAAATCTATTTCTCAAGTGATTACAATTTGGCACATAATGCCCCGTCTCCTTTAATTTATAATTTGAGCTATTTGAGTAATTTTGAGCAAACCCTTCCATAAAAGTAAATAAAACATCACTGATTACTGTGACTAGATATTTTCAATCTTCGAAATACGAAAACGCAACAAAATACTTCCCCACTCCGTTGCTCGTATTTGAGTCCTCACAAAGTTTATTTCTGTCCAAAGAGAAGCGTGTTGTGAAATAGAAAAGTCCGCCTCCGTTTATCCACGCAGTTGGACACACGCGAAATCTGTCCCTCAAAGAAAATATAAAAATTTAAAAAGAAATAAAACACGCGAGACTTCTATTTGCAATGAAGTCTAGTCGTCGAATGGTGATATTAGTATTGCTGACATTAATCTCTATTAGTGAATGCTGTAATGTTGATAACGTGGTTGTGTACAAAATGAAGATCCGAATGCAATGGAGTGAAAACAAATTTCCTGATTTGCCAGTGAATTCTAAAAGACAGTGGTCGTCCGTTTTTGGTTAGTAAATTAGAAAGTTATTGATTAAAGTAATAACTTAGTGATGGGACGAACAAGATGTCCGCCTGATGACAAGCGACACGCCTGTCCATAACAGTTGCACTACCACTCGGAGCTTTAAATTACAAATGTCTGAGGCTACTGCGCCCGACACCTTGAGACATAAGCTACTGTTGACAAGTGCTTGTAATTTCACTAGCCTCCGTACTCTTTAAAACCGGAAGGCAGCAATGCTTACACTACTGCTTGGTGGCAAAAATAGGTAAGGTGGCAGTACTTCCCTAGACGAACTCTTTCACAAGGACCTCTACTGCTACTAATGAAGAGTTTAATCAAATAGGTTATAATCATTTAATAGCAGCAGAGTTCCTTGTGAAGAACTTTGTCCAGGGAGGTACTATCAACGTACCTATTTCTGCCACTAAGCGGTAAAGTGAGCATTACTGCTAACAGGTTTTGATGGATAAGTAAGGGTGCTGGTGAAATTACACGCACAAAGGACTTACGTGACAAGCGCAGTGGCAGTGCCCCTTACATTTTTGCGGCATTGGAATAGCTATGAAAGGCGTGCCGTTTACCACCAGGTGCACGACTTTTTTGTCCCATAATTTGGTATCATAAAAAAACTCTAAATTAAACTCAAAATTATTTCACAGGTAAGCAAATCACATTTGAAATCGTCATATTGATTAAACTCCACTGCTCATTAGTAAGGCAGATTCCCCTGAGAAGAATGAGCTAGAAACTCTAGGCGTTGCTCTTGATAAATATACATTTGTCATTTACCCAGTATTGATTTCATTGACATCATAAGGTCGAGACCATCTGCTAGAGTTAAATCGGTTTCTACCACAGATTTTTGTCATCCAAGTACCTGTATAACAGTTTATAATGACCTATAGTTTAAAAGCATGGTTTCCCAAAGTGATCTCTACCGTCCTCTGGTGGGCGCTGAATAGTCCAAGGTAGGGGCCTCGGAAGCAGTTGGGGGGCGTTGACGTTGTCCATGAGGTGCTACCGCTTTTGAAGAAAAAACTTCAATTACCTATATAAATACGCTAAATATACTCCCGGACATATAGTTCGAGATAGTTCGGGCTAGAATTCAAAAATAGTGTTATCATCGAAGTTTAATATTCTAGTTTCAAATTTGTGTAATAGTTTTAGATCAATCAAACATTTTTTAAGCTTAGGCCACTTAATACTGAAAATGTGTGATATAATTCTTTTTCCTTGTGATTTTTTTGTGTCAAATTTAAAAAATACGTTTTTTCAATTATTTGTTGTAGTGGTGGGCGTTGACATTTTTTTTATCTTTCCTAAGTGGGAGGTGAACCAAATAGTTTGGGAACCTATGGTTTAAAGTATTTGTTTCACTATAGTTTCAAACCTCGTCAATGGCAAACTTTAAACATTAATTAAATTTAAAAGAAATTTCGAACAAAATCTTATTATAGATGCATACACGTTGCCTTTTAAATAAATTTGTGACTTTGTGAAAGATATTTTTATTTAACCAGTTTATTTTTATTCCACGTATAAGGTGCTATTTAAAGATCTGAGCGGCAATGCGTGACGCTTACCGCCAGACACACGACTGGTGAAAATAAAATAATCTCAGTAAAGAGCACTAAAAAAACCGATTTCAAAAATTTGTGGAATCACATCTATTTGCCAAGTTTTATTGAAATCTGTTACCGGAAAATGCGAAAAACCGGATTCATCACCTAGTTTGCCACTCTTAGGGGTGGAATATTTTCTTCAGAATTAAATGAGTCCAATACTGAAGTACTCTCTTTCCAACAAAAAAGAAACATCAAAATCTGTTCACAAATGTCAAAGTTATCGCGTAACGTTCGTACAAAAAAATAAAGTACAATTGAAAACCTCCTCCTTTTTTAAAAAAGATTCCCTCATACTGCCTCTTTGTTGCCCGACTTCAGCAAAATTAAAACTTCCTTTGTCCTGACCAATGATGTTATAAACAAAGGTCATTGGTCCTGACAGAATACGTGTTTTTATTTCTAAAAGGCGTTTCACCTGCCTGTAAAGGTGGGAACACGGTCTGACATTTTCATTATTTCGCCAACAACTCTCCAAGTTAGAAACTTTTGCGTAATTAATGTGAACAACAATCCAAAAGGCCTCGAAAACAAAGAGGGGAACTAGTTCGCGACCAGTTTGTTTAGGTCCCTGACTTTGACATCTTAACTTACAGGCGTTTCAAGTTTTGTTCAGAACACATTATGGAAGTTTGACTTATGCCAAAAAGTACTAATTAAATTAAATTATTTAGATTTATATTAAAATTATTAATAGGCCTACGTTTGTTCTCAATGTAATAGTAATAAACTTAAGCAAGGTAATTCCAGCCAGTCTTGCTAAACCTAGGTAGAGGTTGTATTTCTATGGCATCTAGTGTTGTAAAAAACATTTTTCTTTTCTAAGAAAAAAATCAATGAAAAAACGTAAAGCTTTGATTTCAATTACCTGTCTCAAGTCACGGATCGAAATTCGAAATTTGAAAATATTCCACCACTAAAAGTGGCAAATTAGGGGAAGAATCTGGTTTATTGGAATTCCCACACATTTCGTTAATTGATTTCAAAAAAACTTCGTAAGTAGATGTAATTCCACTAATTTTTGAGATTGTTTTTATTTTTCATTAATAAGTTAATATTTATTTATTTTTTATTTATTTCTTTATTTATATTCAGGTTACTCAGACCCATAGATACATACCGTACAGACTAACATACATAACAATATAAAATAACACTATTATTACTAATTTAACACGTATTTAGGTTGTCGGCGACGTGTGGCGCCATCTGGTGTCAGGCAACCGACCACGGAATCGCCGGTATAGGACACCCTTCGGCCAGAAATTATTATTATTACAGTTAATATTATAATTAATTATTATGCTAGTTGTAAATTTCATGCATATTGATTCTGGAACGGCCGGATTTTGTTCAGAAATAGAGTAATTTGAGTGGATGCCAAGAAAGCTTCCCTCGTTGCGCTTTTAATTACAAATAAATTTACAGGCCCTAAATATACGAAGTACTTACTATTTATAGCGTGAATTTTTTCATGTCATTTTATGTGTGGTGGGAATAGTGCAGTTCAATGGGATCAAGCGTCATCATCACGTAAAATGTCGTTGTCAAATGTAACTAAATATTTATTGAAATATTGTTTAATTGTCTCAAGTTAAGTTTTTATTAAATGGACTTGCTCTTGACCACTACCTTGCTCTGGAGCAAAGATTGGATCTACGATGGAACGAGCGCGCCCAGATGCCTATTCTGTCGCACCCTAGAGATATTCGGGTTATATGAACTCGGAAGCACAGTCGCAGACACGGAATTTCATTCCTGGCCTGTGCGCGTAATAAAAGATGACGAAAAGCGCTTGAAGGGAATATCAACCAAGTAAAGATGACATCCTTGAAAAGGGGCGGGCGGGATGAGCTAACAGAGCTCGTGGGCACACTCACCGAAATATATTTTGTAGAAAACCGACAGACAGGCAACCTTGCGCCGGTGGGCTATCAACTTAGTTAAGCCGTCCCACAGGTGACTGCAATACTCCATACAAGGTCGGACTTGTGATTTCATAACAAAATAATAATATAAAGATATTACATATTCCCGACAAGTTTTTTGAGTATACTAGGATGAGTAGTAACCGAACAACAAATAAAAACAAAATCATTTGTTTTAAACGCAGACGCGCCAAGCGGTCGCTTCTCGGAGCGCATGGTGCGACTGGACTGCCACGCAGGTCCCAGGTTCGATTCCGGGCCGGGACAAATATTTGTATGGCCTACATTTATTTCTCTCGTGAGTTTAGGTGTAATTTGTGGTTGTCTATGTATGTGTCCATGGCACCCGGCGCACAGGGTTTCCCCTAGTGCAGGGCTATGTTAAGTGTGTGCGTTATTATTATTATTATCATTCAACGCTTGTGCAAAACTATGCGGCGACTCGCGGCCCTCGGGCAAAGGACACGTTTCTGTCAAGTAAGAGGTGGCAAACTTAATTGTTCGGGTGGAACCAAGGTTCCAACCAATTCTTAAGTTTCACAATTGTTACACATAGGAAATTAAACTAATTTTTCCGAACATAAATCAAGTATATTTGATTTTACAAACAAACCAACGTTTCTGGCTACTTACAGGTCGCATGGAAATGACTGACCATACCACCTCAGTCAAGTCATCAACCTTTTATATCTAATAGTAACGCGAACGTAATGCAAAAGAACCCTCGTATTTTTCGTTATAGTTTTTAATTTTACAAATAACTGTAATTTAATTTACTTTTACTTTAAAAATACGAATTTTCATTAAATTAATTTTATTATTCATTAATAATGGAAATTGGAGTAAATTAAAATAAAAAAAACTTTTGTTTGAAAAAACAAATATTCGCTACTTAGATGAAAAAATAATTTAATTTGTTATACTTAATATATTACTTATTTCAAAGTGTAAATTTCTATAGTCGCTTCATATAAGTTACTTCACGACCACAAAATTCGTAAATTTAGATAGATTTGTCAGAGGTCAATGAAAAATAATATTGTGGAAAAAAAGGGTCTTTCATTTTATCTTCGCACGGTTAAGTGACATTTTGCGGCTTCGCTCTTCGACGATAAGCTGGTATTTATTTGTATTGTCGCTTTTTATATAGTCTATGTTATCTTCTCTTATTCTTATACAACCGTCTTTTATCACAGGTTTATTATTATTATTTTTTTCAGAGCCAGTCATGGAAAACGTGCTATGTTGTAAATACGATGGAGTTACGTATGAACATAATTTATTTGTGAAATAAAAATTAAAAATAATCACCACTCTCATTCACAATCAAACACGCAAGATACGGGTATAATACCCTGTTTATCCTGCAAAACATACATACGTACAACTTGTGTCCAAAATCGAGACTTCTTTGGTGCAGATTTCTGAATGGGACGGACAGAGTCTTGTC